TACACGAGCCGCAGCCCCCTCCTATCATATCTGGGCATCACTGGGCTCAGAATCTCTGCTGTCAAGCCCTGCACACCAATGGGTCCTTTCTGAATGGCAGTGCCCGATCAGGCTGGACCTCCCCACACCTGTGAGACGACAGAGACAGAACATCTGGCTTCCCTCCCCCAAGGTCAAATTCTACACTCGGAAGCAATGCCAACACTGGTCTTGCCTCATCCCAACTTCCGCACGCCCATCCTACCTCCCCCAAAGTCCCAGCACACACTGGAAGTAAGGGAAGTGTAATGACTCTCAGAACCATCCCATTTGGGGGGCGGGGGAGGGCAAGATGATGTTCCTCCACCTGCCTCTCCTCCTGCACTAACCGCTCAAGGAACTCAGAGCTCTGCAACAGGATTCTGGCCCCTGGGGCACCATCACCCAGGAATGCTGAAGGACAGGATCAGGGCTTCGGGAAGAGTCCCTGGAGAGGGCAAGGTTGGCACACCTGAGCTGGGGCCACACCTACCTTTCTCTGATGCTGGGGCCAGGTCAATGAAGCTGCGGCATTTTTCACCTTCGGGGGGGGAAAAAAAAAAAAAGAAAGAAAGAAAGGTTTTCAGAATATGAAAGGAAGTGAGAGCTTCAGGCTTCCGCCTCTCCCCCTCCCACGAGCCCTGTACGCATCTGGGGGTAGGGGGGCCCAAACATCTCTAACCCGAGCAGCATCTTTCTCTAAACCCTAATTCCCAGAAAGCCAACGTCCTGAGGACTGTGGATGGTGAAGCCGCAAGTCCCCATGATGCCTCCTTCCGTCATCTCTCAGCCCAATCCATCCAGCCCTGTCACTCCCACCTCCTCAAAGCCCTCCTGCCCTTTCCACGGACTCCACCCCGTCCAGGCCCAGCAGGACGAGGGCAGAAGCTGTCATGGGGCTCCCTGGACCTCCATTCTGGATTCTGTCGGATCCATTCTCCACACTGCAGCTGGAGGGATATTTTCAAACCACACAGCTCTGATTACATCACATGCACACACGCAAGTACGCACACTCCTGCTCAAAACACTTTATCCCAAAATAAAGCCCAAATTCCTTCACATGGATCCAGGACTGGCCTCCACCGGCCTCTCCATCCACACCCCCTCCCCGCCCCTCCTCTCAGCTCCTATACTCTTCGTGTTCCCTTCCCCCACCCCCCGACTGGGAACACACTTCATCCATATTAGAAGCTCTCATGGCACCATGGCCTTCTCCTAGGGGGCAGCTAGTCACCTTATAACTCTTATCATTTTGTGTGTGATTCTCAGATGGATGGTTCACAAGCTGGAAGTGGAAGCCCCGTGAAGGCAGGTACCACATCTTCAATTCATCCCCAGCTCAGAAAATGGTACCTCCATCCTCCCAGATGCTCAGGCCAGAACCTTGATGTCATCCTTTGTTTCTCTCTTTGTCTCACACCTCCCCATCTGATCTGCAGCTCCAGCTTCCCAATATACTTAGAATCCAACTACTTTTCACCACCTCCTCTGGTCCCAGCCCCATCATCTCCTCCTGGATTACTGCAGTAGCCTCTGCATGGGTCTCCCTGTTTCTGTCCTTATCCACACAGTCACCAGAAGGGTCCTGTTATAACCTAAGATGGATTACGTCTCCTCTCAGAACTTTCCCACAGTTCTCAATTCACTCAGAGTCAGAACCTAAGTCCTTACCATGGCCTATAAGGCCCTGTGTGATCTGTGCCCCCATCACCTCCCTGACCTCATCTCCTACTGGCTTGCCCCTCGCTCACTCCACTCCAGCCACACTGGCCTCCTTGCTGATCCTTAAATGTGCCAGCCACATTCCTGCCTCAGGACCTTTGCACATGCTGTTACTTCCCCCTGGAGCATTCCTCCCACAGACAGATGAATGGTTTACCCTTCCTCTCCTTTATCACTTTCCCCAAGTTTTACCTTCTCAGGAAGGCCTTTCCTAACTAGTCTATTTAATATTCCAAACACCTTTTCCCTGACTCTCCCCATCTCTCTTCCCGCTGGACCCCTAGCACCTAGAACACTGCCTGGTACATAGAGAGTGCTCAATAAATATTTATTGAAGGGGTATACGAATGAGTAAATGAATGAATGAACAAACGAATGACTTCCACCCAAACCTTATGCCTATAAGAAACTTCAACTCTTCAGTCTTTCCTCCCAGCCTCCTTGATGCCAGGCCCCATGCTGGCCATCAAGGACACAGTGAGAGCAAGATGTGACCTAGCCTTAAGGTACTTTCTCAGATGGGACACGTGCTCTATACTTTGCCACAGTCCCCACCACACCCTGTTGCTTTATCCCTAGACCTTAGACCTCAGTGGTCCCTGAGACACTAGATTCGCTGACCTTTAGGGTGAGCTTGCAACTCCTAGTTCAAGGGTTTTACTGCTGAGCATAGCAGCAAGAGATAGATTTCACTGCTAAGCCCAACAAGGAGACAGACTTTGAGTCCAAACGGAGTCAATGTAGGTTGGGGATGAAAAGAATCTGGAAGCTTCCAGCATTCTCAATTCTTGTGTCTGCTTGAAGCTTCCTAAGTTTTCCTCTAAGAAGGTCCCTTGAAGCCCGTTTGGGCTCCTGAACCTCCTTCCAGCACCATACAAATGCAAAGGCAGATATCAGGGAGTGGTGAGAGATGAGGCTGAGAAGGAAGGCTGGGGCCAGATCACGAAGGGTCTCAAGTGCTGAGTTAAGGAGTGGATTCCTCTCTTATATATGTCACCCCTTCCAAAGAATCATGAGGCCACAGGTGGATGGATGCTGCTCCTGTGATTTCATCGTGCTTACTTCCTCCCCAGGCTCTATATATTGAGATGTAGGACCCTCTCCTTCCTTTATAGAAAAGGTTCAGGGCCACTGAGTGATCAGCCAGGACCACACAGCAAGTCAATGGTACCGAGATTATAAAGAGATGTTTGCTGACAGCCAAGAACCAGAAGAGGATTTTTTTAAATGAGAATAGGTAGTGTGCTAAGAATGGATGGATTTTGAATGCATCATCTTAAACTTTCTTTATGTTATATTGTTTTCTCAGAGCTAGAGAGGGAAAATTTTAATGGCTAAATTCAGACCAGCAGCCAGGGCCCCATTAAGACTTTTGTGGACCCTAGGCTCTTTTGCCTTTGGAGTCTCTTCCTCAATAAAGACAAATTAAATTAAAAATTGTATTTTAGGGGGCTTCCCTGGTGGCACAGTGGTTGAGAGTCCGCCTGCCGATGCAGGGGACACGGGTTCGTGCCCCGGTCCGGGAAGATCCCACATGCCGCAGAGTGGCTGGGCCCATGAGCCATGGCCACTGAGCCTGTGCATCCGGAGCCTGTGCTCCGCAACGGGAGAGGCCACAGCAGTGAGAGGCCCACGTACAGCAAAAAAAAAAAATTGAATTTTACAAATGCATTGGTTAAAGATTAATATATTAACATTATATATTAAAATTTTTCTTCACCTAAAAGGTTTTTTTTCTTCTGATTCTGAAAGAAATTAAAACATTTTATGGGCTTTTGCTCTGACCTTGTACCCTGAAATCCTGCTGA